CGCTGATGATCGTGCCATTACTGCTCAAGCAGGGAGCTTTGAGATGGTTGAACAGAAGCTCTCTGAAGCTCTAGGTCCTCTTACTGCCTATTACAGGGAAAACCAGCTGATCCCTAACCCATCTAAAACATAGACATGTGCCTTTCACCTCAAGAACAGACAAGCATCCCGAGCTCTGAAGATCACCTGGGAAGGAATCCCACTGGAGCATTGCAGCGCACCCAAATACTGGGAGTCACTCTGGACCGTGCTCTTACCTACAAGAAGCACTGCCTGAACATCAAGCAAAAAGTGGGTGCTAGAAACAATATCATACGAAAGCTGACTGGCACAACCTGGGGATCACAACCAGATACAGTGAAGACATCTGCCCTTGAGCTGTGCTACTCTGCTGCTGAGTATGCATGCCCAGTGTGGAACACATCTCACCACACTAAAACAGTGGATGTGGCTCTTAATGAGACATGCCGCATTATCACAGGGTGTCTGCGCCCTACACCACTGGAGAAATTACACTGTTAGCCGGTATTGCACCACCTGACATCCGCCGGGAAGTAGCAGCCAATAGTGAAAGGACCAAGGCAGAGACATCTCCAGCTCATCCCTGTTTGGGTATCAGCCAGCACGTCAACGACTTAAATCAAGAAATAGTTTTCTAAGATCTACAGAGACACTCGCTGGAACACTCAGCAAGCTAGAGTCCAAAAGTGGCAGGCTCAAACCCAGAACCTCAACCAATGGCTGATACCAAATGAGAGACTCCCCCTGGGCACACAGAGGACTGGGCGACTTGGAAGGCACTGAACAGACTGCGCTCTGGCACCACGAGATGCAGAGCCAATCTTCAGAAATGGGGCTACAAAGTGGAATCCTTGACATGCGAGTGTGGAGAGGAGCAAACCACTGACCACCTGCTGCAATGCACCCTGAGCCCTGCCACATGCACAAGGGAGGACCTTCTTGCAGCAACACCAGAGGCACTCCAAGTGGCCAGATACTGGTCAAAGGACATTTAATCAACTCTCATACTCACAAATTTTGTAATCTGCTTGTTTGCTTTGTTCTGTTAGAAATGTAATATAATTTGACTGGTTGTTCTGACACGACAAAATAAAAAAAAATCCTGGGAAGTGTTGCCATCCAGCTTCCCCCCATTGCTGGTAAGGCAACATGGGAAGACTTCCATGTTGCCACATTAGTAGCATACGCCACTTGCTCTCCCTTATCTGGACAGAGCCTCATATAATGGATTCCATTCCCAAAGGGGAGAACAAGCGGTGTTGGACGGGTCAAGTAGCCTGATGAGGTCGTAAGTAGCTGATATAGAATATCAGCAAACATCTTCAAACAGTGGCAACGCTCTATGTTGAAGTGAGTAACAACAACAACAACAACAACTTTATTCCTATACCTTGCCACCATCTCCCCAAAAGGACTTGGACGAGCTTACATATGGGTCAAAATGCCCACAAAACATAAAAGCAAAACTATCCATTAAAACAAAAACACAATTAAAATAAGTGCATAGTAATATTTAACAATCCAGATAAAAACACAATGAAATAAAACGTAAGAATATAAAACAGCAATGTTGAAACTCAAAACAATGCTCAACAAAACCAATTAACATGACTAGGCAATAAAAAGGGCCAAGCATGGGATAGTACAAAACAGCATCCCATAGGGCTGGGGTATTGGATGAGGTGCAGAGAACAAAATATTGTAAGGTGACCTAGGGACTGGGTATTTATAACTAGGGACTAGCTGTTCTCAAATGCTAGCTGAAACATCCAGGTTTTCAAATCCCTGCAAAAGGAAGACAGTGTAGGGGCTTGCCTCATCTCCCTGAGGAGGGAGTTCCAGAGTTGGGAGGGGCACCACTGAGAAGGCCCTCTCCCTTGTCCCCACCAATCATGTTTGTGACAATTGTGGGATTGAGAGGGTAAATGAGTAAGTGCAGTAAGTAAGATCTCCTCTGCAGATCTTAGAGCTTTCATCGGTTCATAGGAGAAGACTTCAACATAAAGTTATATGAGAACCTATGAGGATTACTGAATAAGTACAGGCACTTAATATCATAACATGTAACATCCAAAACTCTTAAATTAATTGCAAATATGATTCAGACACCAAGCGTGGAGCAGTGTTTTAATTTCAGTAAATAACAAGCAAAGTTGCACCCTTATTGTAGAGATTGGGAGATTATTCTAGTAACTACTTCCAGCTTGCAGAGATCACATTTGGATGTCCTAAAAACATGATTTCAACATGATACAAAATCTGGATTGAGTGTATGTACATAAAGTGCATTTACAAAATTGCCTTCAGATATCGAAGAAAAGGGAGAACTATTATGTTCACATCTCTTTATGTACTTTCTTCTAATCATGTTGTCCTACCCATTAGGTGCCACTCTTCATAAACAGCAGCCTTCTTGTTTATTCAAAATGCTTTTTAAATATTTTGGATTTTCTGATCTGTACAAATACACCACTTACAGTAGTAGAAGAATAATGCCTGTCCTGATTAAGATGTGAAATAGTTTTAAAGCCAACATCTTTATTATTGTTAGAAGGCTTCTGCCTGACAAAAGCATGCTTGATAGAAAGACGGTCAGTAAAGCATTTCCTAAAGCATTTTCTGTGACCATCCCAGGAAATGTTCCACCTATGACATTTCTTTACCACAGCTTTTTTGTGGATAAATGTAAAGCCATACTTCTTTATTTTTCACCATGTATCTGCACTTACTCATTTACCCTACAATTGACTTCATATACAAATCAGTGCTAACAAAGGATGCCAGCAATTTCTGGACCAGTGCCTTTCACCATGGGTAGATCTGTAGAAAATAGCAGGACAAGATTTTCAAGACATGAAGATAATCACGAGCTAATTCAAAGATGACGAATACGGCCTTGTTCTTTTTCTGTTTAACATTTCCATGAGTTCTTCCTGCTGAGACTGAAAGTCATTCTGAGAAACAAGTTCAAGAATGTTTTAAAAGAGAAAGCTAACAAGGTAAAGTTGCATTCACAAGCAATTGGATGAGGAAGTCTTTGAGTTGTTTTGCATCTCAGTACCTGAAAGCCCCAGCCAGCATAGACAATGGTACAGGATTCTGATATGTGTAGTCCAAAATTATTCAAAACCACATTCCCTACATCTCCTGTAAGCCTATTAAGAGGAGACATGTTTCTAATCTCTCTTAGGGTTTCATTCCTAAACATATTTCTTAAAGAGTAAAGATGAATAGTTTGTGACCTGCGCAGCTCAAGGGCAACCATCCCCCATGTAATTCATATTTATAAATGTCTAGTGAAAGAATAGCTATTCCAGAAGGCTTTTATGAGATTGTTATCTCAGCTTTGTTATTTTTGTCCTGCTCCTCTGTGATTGATGTATTCTAAAACTTAATTTTTATTTTATTCACTTCTAAATTATATACTGGATATACCAGAACCTGGGGTTATCTATTGAATGGTAGTGCATAGTTAAACTGCAGGATTTACTACTTCAGGATGTAGTGATGGCTGCCAACTTAGATGGATTAGAAGAGGGATTAGACAGGTAAATGGAGGCTAAGTCTATCAGTGGCTACAAATCATGATAGCTATGTATTATCATCAGTATTAAAGGGAATATGCCTCTGAACACCAGTTGATGAAGAAGAAGTATGGTGCAATTGTACCCATGGGCACCTGCTTGATAATAATGGGAATCTTTGGTCTGATACAACATTGAAAGCATTTCTCTTTTAAGGCCCTGTAGAATATATATTTAATGTAAACCACTTTGAGTTCAACTGTGGAGAAAAAAAAATGAACCGAGATCCTCTATCAAACACATAACCATCATGTCATAGCTATTCTTTAACTCATCAACCAGTCCCTGAAACCCACCTTGAAAGTCAATCAGAGTAAACAAAATCTGTGCTGCTGCCAGTTGGGCGGTGCAGGGTGGCTTGTCCAGTTATCTTTTACCAGAAAGTGATGCGCCAGTGAAGAGATGCTACAGCTCCTTGCAAGGATCTTTGCTTCTGTTCTTCGCAGCTAGCAGAAAGGGGATGATCACAGCACCTTGCACTGTCCTACAAGCACAAACCTCAATTGCTTAGAATGGCTGGATTTCATGGTCATTTGCAATAATCACATATGGCACACATTTTCAAAAATAAAAATAAAATAAAGGTCTTATTTTGTGTTCATTATCAGACTACACATCTCTTCTTGAAATGAAAAAAGGATGGGCATGATTGTCTTTGACAAGCTTTTCAGATGCTAGATAGTTCTCCTTCAGTTTCACAAAATAGGTGATATATGTGTGTTCCTCCAAGCTGCCAATCAATTTATGGCAATCCTATAAATTTCATAGCATTTTCTTTGCCAGTTTTGTCTTCTGAAATGTAGCCTACAGCACATTTCAGAAGACAAAAATATGGAAACTTCTATTCTATTCTATTCATTGGTGGTCTCCTGTCAAAGTACTTATAGAGTGGACCATGTTTGGCTTCCAGGATCAGATGACAATTGGTGCCCTATTAGTTACAACTAAAAGGCTGGAATGATTTATCTGCATGGAATGCAATAGGGATCATATCAGATTAGCAGAGGTAAAGTGGGAAACAGTGGGGAAAATTGTGGAGCAGCAAAAGGAAATCATCAGGCTCGGTTCCCTCCTGTTGGGGTTCGTGGTCTTTATTCCTAAGTAGTTTCCCCATCTGTCCCTGCTTCCTCTTCGCCTCCTCTTCCCTTCTTCAATGAGGAGTCAGCTAAACACCCAGAAGTGGGGAGAAAATGCTCCTCTCCCTGCATCTCACAAGGTCCACATGAAGAACCCCTTGGTGGAACAGAACTCCATGTAACACAGCATGACTTTAAAATAGGAGATAGAATGATGCCGTTATTTAAAAGCAGCTATAGCTTTGGAAATCCTTATAGAGCTATTATGAAACTTGGGATAAAGAGCTCTATTCAGTAAAATGTTTGTTTTTTGCTTTAGTTTGCCAAGAAGCTGTATGGGAAGCTTTCCGGATTTTTCTGGATCGGATTCCAGATGCAACGGAATATCAGAATTGGGTCACAGCTTGTCAGCGGGAAACATTCTGCATATTCGATATTGGGAAAAATTTCAGTAATTCTCAAGAGCATCTGGAGATAATTCAGCGGGTAAGGCCTGAAGAATGCATTTTCTAACCTGTGATGAACATCGCTTTAAAAAGACCAAACAGATCACAAAGTATTACAAGGTACATTGAGAAGGGAATATGTAATAATAAAAGTAAATGAGAGAGCTGTTACATGCTAAATATTTATTACTAAAGTAGTAATAATACTATATCCTCATCATAACAACATCATAATAGCAGTAAATTATTACTATCGTAATAATAAGAACAGATGAGAGAAATAATCAGAGCATTTCATTTTGTGGCTGAATCAACTTTTTTTTTGTCTGAATAATTTTGCAGCGAGTAAAACATAGGACCTTCCAGGATAGGTAAGTGAACCAAAAACAGAATACTCACCATTTGATGCTGCTGCCTTTTACTATCAAAACTGAACAGGTATGTGAGGATCCATGAATGTTTATCCATTTAAAGCGGTGAACGTTTTTATGTATATTTTATTGCCACAATCACACAAATAAAGCAGATAGGCAAATTGTAACATAAGTATCTTACACTTTTTCCATTGTGGTTAGCCACAATGCCAAGAATAGTCTCGGTCTGAAACCGATAAGACCTGGATCATTACACAGCCCTATCCAGACTGCAGAAACTGTTCAGAATAGTCCTTTTGTCACTGATCCATCTTTCCAGGGTTATGGACAGAAATTTACAAATGAATATTTAGCAAAGTATTAAGCCATTCCCATTTCAAGACCAAATGGTCTCTTTCAGATTCCAAAGTGATTCCTAAATAAGCGTGCTGCAAAGTGAACATATTAATTGAAGTATAAAAGCCAAATGATACAGTTAATGTAAAAAATTTCCTGTTCTGGCTGCATTTATTTTTCTCTCACGCTGACATAAAATTAGGCCAAGGCCCACAGCCTTTAATCCCAGGCTTAAAAAATAGAAGATACCTTGTACATTTTCTTTAAAAGCACCATGCCACATTTCCATTACCAATGCAGTTGAGAATAAAGTGAGGTGTATTGTGTATGTGAATCTAGCATCCTTCTATAGGTCGCTACAGCATTGCCTCATCCCACCTTCATGCCCTTGTCTATCACTATATCCTTGTATCTGACCTTTGTTTTTCCACCTCTGCCAACCTCAGCTGCTTAATGTATCAGACATAGTGGGGGAGCTGTCCAGGCTTCCTTATTGCCCCTTTGCCTGAATTCTTTCCTTCGACATGTGCATAGAGCTGTCTCTTAATCTCTTTCTTCCTTCAAATCCCTTCTCAAAAATCCCTCTTCTTTTTCATGAGACATTTGGCTGAACCCCTTAATCTTCCACCCCAGCTGTAACCTAGCTTAAATCCATTTAATAGTATTTGCTCACATTTATTCCTTACTGCCCTTGTCTTACTCTGCCCTCTTTTTGTTGTCTTCTTCATTGTTGAATGGAGACAGGAGGCTCCTTCGAAACAGAGACCTATCTGTTTTCCTCACGAATCTCTCAAGCACCACATGCATCAAGTACCACATACACCAGGCACAGTAGGCATTATTAAACACCAAAAATGATCAAACCAGTAGATATTTCTTGCTGTAGTTTGAACAAAAACTTTTGATTTAAATATGGAAACAAAATAGTATTAAAATGTGAATATTTATTTGGTTTCTTGGGCAAATTCTATAGCTCTCTGAGCACTATCACACTATATTATTATAGCACTATTATGCCACTTTTTAGCCCCCATTTCAACATCCTATGGAGTCCTGGAATTTACAGTTTTGGGAGGATCATTGAGAAATCTCTGCCCAAACCTTACTTAAACTAAAAACCCTAAAATTTCATAGGATGTTGCCATAGCAGTTAAAGCGGAATAATAGTGCTACAATGATGTGGTGTAATAGAGTTCTTGTTTTGATTTAGGCAAACCTAAGCAATTTTAAATAACCCAGATTTCATTGGAGGGTATATTAAGAGAAGATGAAATGGCTATTGAAAACAATATCTCCTGAACTATGCCATTCTTTTAGCTCAGGCGTGGGCAAACTTGGGCCCTCCAGGTGTTTTGAACTTCAACTCCCACAATTCCTAACAGCTAGTAGGCTGTTAGGAATTGTGGGAGTTGAAGTCCAAAACACCTGGAGGGCGAAAGTTTGCCAATGCCTGCTTTAGCTGGATTGCGGCCTAATATTTTAAGTTAGAGAAAAATGAATCCCTTGGCCTTTCATTGTGTCTTGGCACATTTTACAGCATTCCTTATTTCTTTCTTGATAGAAAAGAGGAAATTTCTACAGAGAAAATAAAAAAACCCGAGGAACCCCCTTCTCTTGCTACAGGTAAAATTAAACATGTTTTGTGCACTCCCTTAACATTGGGGAACACAACTGTGAGCTATCTGGGGGTTAGCTTTGTGGTATGGGATAGGAATCCCAGAGTTGTTTTCAATCTGTGAGACTCAACATTGTCAAGCAGGACATTATTAATGTTAGCTTATTTGTAAGTCATTTTTGTAAAAACAAAGCAATGGTGTATCTGATTGCATTACACTGAAGCAACAAGAACACCCAGTTGGAAGACAAAACAATTTTACTGCAGTGAAACAACAGAAAAAATACAACACAGAGTTAAAGAAAAACAGTTGATATATCAAGCAAATGAAAAAAGAACATCTAGAAGACTATTTGGTAAATCTAAAACTGTCACACAATTGTCCCTTCACAACACTACTTTGAAAGCACAAGCTGTAGAGACATGTTGAAAGAGACAAAATAGTACCCATAATAATCTCCAAAGAAAATGTGAAAACTTTTATATCTCCCAAGCTCAAAGTGTGGAGATTAGGTGCAAGGCACATTCAGGGGAAGAGCAAATTGCTTCTCCTAGCTGTTTTCATTCAGTCATTCCTAAATAAGAAGCCTCTGGCAAGCACAAATGTCTACTTAGAAGTGGATTCCTTGTTCAGTGTAGCAGACTCCCACCAAAGCATGCATATTAATGTAGGTTGTAGCCATCTAAAATAAAGAAATCACACTGGCAACGAAGATCTGCATAGTTAAAGCAATAGTATTCCCCATAGTAACCTATGGATGTGAGATCTAGACCATAAGGAAGACTGAGTGAAGGAAAATAGATGCTTTTGAAATGTGGTGCTGGAGGAAAATTCTGAGAGTGCCTTGGACTGCAAGAAGCTCCAACCAGCCTGACTGCTCAATGGAGGGGAGGATATTGGAGGCAAATATGAAGTACTTTGGCCACATAATGAGAAGACAGGAAAGCTTGGAAAAGACAATGATGATGGGGAAATGGAAGGAAAAAGGAAGAGGGGCCAACCAAGGGCAAGATGGATGGATGGTATCCTTGAAGGGACTGGCTTTACCTTGAAGGAGCTGGGGGTGGCCACAGTCGACAGGGAGATCTGGCGTGGGCTGGTCCACGAGGTCATGAAGAGTCAGAAGTGACTGAATGAATAAACAACAAGCCATCTTTTATTATTCATGGGGCTGTTATTCAACTTCAGTAACTGTTGGAAATGATGTGTGCATGTCCTTGATCATTTTGTACACTTACTATTTCTTATATAGTCAACTATATACAGTAGATGTCTTGGTGGCCTAATCTGCCTGGTCATTTCAGGCAAATTGTCTCGGAGACAAATTGTCTCCCTCACCACCAACCTGAACTCAAAATATTAACAATTTAATAATAACAACAACAACAACAACAACAATTTGTACACAAGAAGCTGATTTTAACAATTTCCCTGAATTTTGAAATGCATGGACTTCTATACAAGACTAAAGAAATCCAAAGGGGTTCACATCTTGTTTTGAAAGTGGATAGATTATTGGTATTAAAATAATGCTGCTCCTTGAGATTTCCAGGAAATGTAATCCATCTATTTATCGGGAAAGGGGCAGCCTAGGAAGTACAGAGGGACTGAGAAACTGCAAAAATAGATAAGAGAATCTATACTTTGCTTATTCCCACATGCCTCTTAAGACTGAAGAATGTGATCTCATTGTCATTGCTACATAATAGTTCAAAATAGAGCCTGGAAATGTGAATGCTAAGCTAGTAATACTAATTTGTCAAGTTAAGTTGATTTGTTCAGATTAAACCGTTAGGAATTTTTTTTTATTAATTTGCTAAGTTTCTAGATTAAAACCACATTTTAAAAATGACCAGTATCATCTCACACTAATAAGAATCATTAATCGTCCCTGAAAACTATTCTTGGTATCATATAACAATTAATACTTTTTAAAAAAATTAAACAAATTAAACGTAACAGATTCTTTTGCGATGTAACACATTTTAATTGGTACATGATGGCAGAATTATTTTTTAAGGAATGATTAATGATTTCCATTACTATGAGTCAATACTGGCGGTGGAGTAAGGTTTTTTTTTTTTTTTTAGTAATTTCAAGTGGTTTTAATTTTACCTGAATTTCCAAATTCTGAATTTTGTAATGAAGCAAAGTGATGGCTGGCATCGTGCTCATTATTTCATTAGACCGGTTTAATCAACTGTTGAATTGTGACCCACATGACAGTGAATACAATGGAACCAATTGATCTACTGTAGTTAAGACTAACAAACAAGATTCAGACCAGTATGTGTTAATGGTATATGTTTGTGGGTTGTTTTAAGTTTTTCAGGTTGTATAGCCATGTTCCAGAAGCATTCTCTCCTGACGTTTCACCTGCATCTATGGCAGGCATCCTCAGAGGTTGTGAGATCTGTTGGAAACTAGGAAAATGGGGTTTATATGTTTGTGGAATGTCCAAGATGGGAGAAAGAACACTTGTCTGTTGGAGCTAGGTGTGAATGTTGCAGCTGGCCACCTTGATTAGCATTTAAAGGCCTAGCAGTTTCAAGATGTTACTTCTTATTGCCTGGGGGAATCCTTTGTTGAGAGGTGATTAGCTGTCCCCGACTGTTTCTTGTCTGGAGTTTTGAGTGTTGTTCTTTATTTACTGTTATGATTTTAGAGGTTTTAAATACTGGTAGCCAGATTTTGTTCATTTTCATCGTTTCCTCCTTTCTGTTGAAATTGTCCACATCTTGTGAATTTCAGTGGCTTTTCTGTGTAGCCTGACATGGTAGTTGTGAGAGTGGTCCAGCATTTCTATATTCTCAAATAATATGCTGTGTCCATGTTGGTTCATCAGGTGCTCTACTATGGCTGACTTCTCTGGCTGAAGTTGTCTGCAGTGCCTTTCATGTTCCTTGATTCGTGTTTGGGTGCTATATTTGGTGGTCCCTATGTAGACTTGTCTACAGCTGCATGGTATATGGTAGACTCCTGCAGAAGTGAGAGGATCCTTCTTGTCCTTTGCTGAATGGAGCATTTGTTGGATTTTCTGAACAACACTCAAAAACTGGAGAACTCCAGACAAGAAACAACCAGGGACAGCTAATCACCTTTCAACAAAGGATTCTCCCAGGCAGTAAAAAGCCACACCTTGAAACTGCTAGGCCACTACATGGTAATCAAAGTGGCCAATTGAAACATTCATGTCTACCTTCAACAGACAAGAGTTCTTTCTCCCACCCTGGACATTCCACAGATGTATAAACCCAATTTTCCTAATTTCCAACAGATCTCACAAATTCTGAGAATGCCTGCCATAGATGCAGGTGAAATGTCAGGAGAGAATGTTTCTGGAACATGGCTATACGGCTCAAAAAACTTAAAACAACCCAGTGATTCCGGCCATGAAAGCCTTCAACAGTATATGTTTGTATTTTATTTTTGCTATTGCAGATGCATACTTTTCAAATTAGTCTTTCAACAATGAAGTTGTGATCCTATTTAATGCTGGTGAAGTGCAAAGGCCCATGGGGCCACCTACACAATGGTGCAATGCATCCCCCAGGCTAATCAGCAGCTGTTTGAGTCTGAACCCAGCTCCATCGGGAAGCCATTGTACAACCTGGGAAAAAACTATTGGTCAGGGAGGTGCTAGATCTCCTTCTGCAATACAAAATCATCAAAGCAATCCCATCCATCAGTTATAACAGTGGTTCTCAACCTGGGGTCCCCAGATGTTTTTGGCCTTCAACTCCCAGAAATCCTAACAGCTGGTAAACTGGCTGGGATTTCTGGGAGTTGTAGGCCAAAAACATCTGGGGACCTCAGGTGGAGAACCACTGAGTTATAACATTTTACCAAATGTGTTGTTAAATACATTCACAGACAGCTGTTGTGGTCAGATAACAGAAATGATTGAACAAGAAATGAGCAGCTTCCATTTTTGAATTGTGATTCTCTGACTACATGAAAATATGTACTTATGCATGGTACAGTAAAATCCTTCAACTCAACGGTTCATCTTTAGATGCAAACAAGGTTTCAGAGACTAAACTATAATTCCTCCCTTCACCTTGATTGTAGCCCCAATACCTGCTATTTACTTTTATGGAACCATTTACCAATTGCTAATTGTGTGACTGACATCATGTCTAGTTATAAACAAATGCATTTTCTCAGAAGTAATTTCAAATGAATTCTAGAGCTTACTCAAGTGAAAATATGCAAAGGCTGCTCCTTTGATCTTTTTATACTGGACAGAAAACAAGAGCTGGATTTATATTTTGTTTCCATCACTCCGTTTCCAGCAGGGAATTCTTAGTGTTGTTATCTTGCTATGCTGTTGATTCTGGGCACAAACAAACAAGCAAAAACTAATCTCCAGTGGGACTTCTTCACCCCTTTCTCCCTCTGCACCTATCAGCTCCTACCGGCACCTTGGTGAATGAGATTGTCAATGACACGAAGGTTCCTATGAAGGTGAGGAAATCTTTTAACATCCCATCTAGCTGAGCAGTTGCATCTGGTTTTCTCACATAGTGACTTGCAGAATGCATTCCCTCCACACCATTAAGTTTTATTTACATCCACTTTAGCTATGGTGAAAATATGTAATGTTACGTCTTTCCACTGAGTTAGTTGTGAATGATGTTTCCTGCCTAAGCTTATGAAAAACAAATTATTATTTGAGGTACCTGTAAAGCTATTAATCACTTTTTGAAATCCTTTTTACATAGTACATCTACACACAGGAGCTCATGTGTTGTTTCAAAGACATTGACGATGGTAAATTCGTTCTAAAGAAAGGGAAGAAATTAAGAAAGGCCTGGGTAGAACAAGGACGGGCAACTCTGACAGGTGTCAGTTTTTATCCCTACTGAGGACTGCACTATCAGAATTTTGATTGAAAATTAGCCAAAGGTCAGGAGCAGAAGTGACTTGCAACTCCAACTTCCAAATGTGTTGGCAGACTTTTGGAGGTTTCTTTTTAATTATCCCATACCTCCAAGAGCTGTAATTGACACTTTTTGGGGGGTTGCATGCAGTTCACGTTTAAAAAAAAAATATTGATACATTCATTCAGTTAACAAACTTTTGCCATACAAGTCTTATCTCGATGTATTTATTTATTTATTTATTTCGTACATTTGTGCCCTGCCCTTCTCACCCCAGGGCGGCTTCACAAAAAGCACTATTCAGTGCTCTAAACAATCATGTTTATATGTTCATAACATACATTTAAAACAAATTCATTAAAACAGTTACATTAAATAAACAATTGTTAAAATCACTCAGGTTTAAAAATCAAAGTCTGGGTCAGTTTGTTGTCATTCATATCACTTGAGTCTTATTCTCAGTTGCTGCCTCTATTGTTCAAACGCTTGGTCCCACAACCAGGTTTTGAGTTTTCTTCTAAAGGATAGGAGGGAGGTAGCCAATCTGATGTCACTATGGAGAGAGAGAGTTCCACAGGCAGGGAGCCACTACCGAGAAGGCCCTGTCTCTCATCCCCACCAATCACATTTGTGATGTGTCTAGCTGATCTTAAACTTTGTGATGATTCATAATGGGGGATATATTCAGACAGGTAATCTGGGCCAGAACCATTTTAGAATATACATGATTCCAAAAGTCACTTTATCTTATATGATGCTTTATATATTCCTCATGGGCCACAGTTTGTTAAAAAATGAGACTCCTAAGAGATTCTGATATGAGTTGGAGGGGGCAGAGAAATAACCATGCTGGTTTTAAGACAAATTCAAAAAATCCAAACTGTAGTAAAACTTAGATAAGCCAGATGGGAAAAAAACAAAACAAAAGCTTTATAGGTTTTCAAAATATCCAGATCTTTTCAAGTGACAAAATGTTACCAAAGAGAGAAGGAGAAAAGGAAAAACTGTCCGAGGAGGTACTAGACCTAAGTCATGTCATCTGCATGTTGTCTTGAGATGTAGTGAGCTGAAAAGGTCTGCAGACTGTCAAAGAGGGCATTGCCTTTTTGCCCATATGAGCCTGTAGTTTTGCTGGGGGCAGGAAAACAGCAACATTTGATTCTTCATTTTGATAATACATAACTCTACTGTAAAATTCTCCATATTGAGCACAGCTCTCATACACCATTGCTATTGGAAAACAGACTAGGCAGCCTTCCTATTGACAATGAAGATAATTTTCAGCACTTCCCCTGACTTTGGGAGGAAAGTGGATGGGGTCTGCCATGCGTCACGTGAAACAAAGTGGGAAAAGAGGACAAAAATGCCCCATTTTTTATTTTTATTGTAAACCGCATTGAGTCGCCGCCTGAGGCTGATAAATGCGGTATACAAATGGAGTAAATAAATAAATAAATAATAAATAAATAAATGTGAAAAGATGATAAATGATGCTCCAGAGTTATGAAGAAGGGAGGGGAAAGGGAGGAACCTTTTTAAAAACCCTTTAAAGCCAGGAAAAGGGGCCAAGGAGGAGAGGATGGTACTGCTATCCTTTTTCCATGGGCTGCTTGAGTCTTCAGAGGCAGGATTACTATGGAGACTGCTGCTGAGATTGCAGATGGTGAATTTAGGAACAGTCTCTGCAGGCCACACACCTCCAAAGATGAGGACCTTACTGAAAGGTCCAGGTCTTTGGAAGTGTTATTTTAACCTAGAATAAGCCTGGATTTCCACATTTATTCTGGGTTAATGTGCATTATCATGAGGTGTTGTTTGGAGTCCTCATGAAACTGCAATCCCTCCAACCAGCATTTCAGTACAGTGTAGATGGGGCCAATGTTAATATAAGCCAAATTGGAAAACCATATCTAATGAGGTTGGACCAGTGGAAAACATGTAGCCTGTGGGTCACATGTGCCCATATATCCCATTTTCTGATGCTTAAAGCATGGCTGCACATTCCCATGCTTCACTCAGAAATCAGGATTGTCTCCCTTCTGTATGAGTGAGGGCCCTTCCACACAACTCTATATCCCAGAATACCAAGGCAGGAAATTCCACATTATCTGGGTGTGGACTCAGATAACCCAGTTCAAAGCAGATATTGTGGGATTTTCTGCTTTGATATTCTGGGATATAGGGCTGTGTGGAAGGCCCCAAAGATTATGTAAGCACAGAGCCTCAACATGCATCTTGGGAAAGGGGGTTCCAGATACATCTGGGAGTATACCTGTGAACCAAAATTAATATCTCTAATAAATAAGACTAATGTTCCTCATGATTAAAATTTTATTTCTTTCTAAGATATCTCACACTGCAGCAAGAAATTGAAATTTTTTCACACATCAAACTCTTCTGTTCTCTGTGTTTGCATTCCTTTGGTCACTTTGCCTTCCACTTTTGTTTGGATGCCTAAATCCTATTTCTAAATGGTCAGCTAATGATATAGCAGCAGTACCAGAAATTCCTCTTGCCTAACTACAAAGAGCAGGGCTGGGGGGAGAGACTTTGGAAGGATTCCATAAAAACCTGTAGATGATTAGCATTTTCTTTAATGTGATGCAAATGTTTTCCCTCTCCTGTTCTCTCAGGAGATAAAGCCAGAGGTTCCTAACATAGTCTCTGAACATCCTGTTGAACAGATGGTGGAATTCAGCGTCACCCTCACCAACCAGGAATACACCCCAGAACTGAGTGACCCTACAACCCCCCAGTACCAGAAACTAGCTGCAAAATTCCAGCTTCAGGTAAGAGCACACTGCAATGTATGTATTTAAAAGGAAACATGGTTCTTGTCTGCTTGGAAAAAAACAAATACACACTGCTGGGCTACAAGGGCAATAATTGTTTATAAATCACAGTTTTAGCAGCTGTTCTGGCCACATTCCATAATTTTAATTATACTTTTCTTCAAATTCTGTTAATGAAAACAACTGTGTTCAAGATTCTTCTAACAATAACCAGCTGATTAAACTTTCTTAGTAATTTTTAATGGGAATAGCAGGTTCATTGTGGAAGGCACTTAAGTTCTGGCATTGTTATGTGCATATTTTGGAGTTTTGCAGGAATCTGGATAATTTGTATCTGGATAATTTGCATTTATTTCTTTTCTAACTGTAAAGGTCAATCTGTGACTAGAATGAACCTATGTATGTAGTGTTAGCAAGGCACCATTATCACATGCACCACACTGGAAAACCAGGACCTCTCCAAACCCACCAAATTCAACCTGTGGCAGAGATTGAGCTAACAAGATATAGAAATAAGCTTCACTCTACACTCTACTATTTTTATTTCTATGTTATAATTTTCCAGAGGGGCCACTTTGTGAGGGTGTTTCCACACTGCCCAAAATGCCAAACGAACTGACAGTAAAATGTCAGTCTGTGCTACATTGTGAGGCCACACATGGGTGCAAACCCCTGCATCATTGGCACTGGCCATGCCAATCCAGTGTCGGCATACCTAGGCATGTCTAGTGCCAGCCTCCCCTCCCCAGCCCCCATTTCAGCCCCAAAATGTGAAGGAGGTTTGGAGAGGGAAGGAGACCTTCCCCCTCCAAAGCGCCGTTGCATCATCACTGTGTGTGATACAGCAACAAAGCAGCCTCCTGCACTGGGAAGGATGCTTTCCCTTTGTTTTGGAGCTGAAATGGTAGCAATGAGGGCACTGCCATCCCACCTTCTTGTTGTGCCTGAGCCCAGTGAGCACATGCCTTGGGGGTGCCAGCTGACAAGTTCTACTACCATCATACCTACAGAGATCCACATCTTCAAGGAATTTTTAAACTCCCCATCCAAGACTATGTGTAAGTGTTTTTGCAGCTCTTGTGTAAAGTGCATTAAATTGTTTATTAGCTTGAATGTCCCAGGCTAATGTGACATCTACACTTTCTTTTCTGACAGTGTAGATTGTCCCTGTGTCTTTCATATGTTTTAAGACTATTCATTGTTTTAGATGCAAAAAGAACAAACAAGTTTATGATTTGTATATTGATACTTTAACAGATGTTTGATTCTTCCGAAAGATTAAAGGTATCGGTTCAAATTTTGTTGGGTAGAGAGTATACACAGTGATATCAAGGGGAATAAAATGCAGAAACTACAGGCAGTGATTTGTACTTCTCTCTACTTTGCAAAATGCTCTTGAGTCCCAGTTGGTGGTGAGGGGAATCAGGAAAAATAAAGCCATGGATGATGAATGGAAGGATGATAATTATATTATTAATAGTAGCCATTGTGAAAAAGCAGAAAAGATGCTGTTAATGACAGCATAGGCATCCTGGCATTGCTAAACCAAATTATACTTGTAGTAAAATAAGAAACCTATCACCTTCATATGAGGCTTTTAGTGTGCAATCAACCTGCCTCATTCACAGAATTGAATGAGATTCAGATGACACTGTATTCTATTTCTGTCCCCACTATGTATTCTCATTGCTTCTTTCATCTGCCATGGTATGGATATTGAATATTGGTTGTATTCAGTGTTGTGAAATACAAGATCTGCAGGTACAGCACATACTGTACATCCTCGAGGGTTGCCCTTTAGGCATGTGAGGGAGCAGGGAGAGATGTTGTGCGCATTACAAACAGAGCCTACCCATTGCCAAGTGGCATTTTTCATTATTTTCATGAGGGACAGTCAGTATGAAGTTGGTGCAAGATCTCCCCCCCCCCCACACACACACACACAAACAAAAAGACCCTGAAAGTCACTCTCAATTTACTCCTGATTTTGAAGGAAAGACTTTTACAAATTTAAATAAAGTGAGAATACAGTAGAATTTCAAATGCTAACCACGTTTCTAGGTGGTAAAACTCATAATGTATGAGCACACAAAGACTTGAGGGATACTGGAGGCATGGAGGCTCAGAGTGCTGGTTGCAACTTTCTGAAGACCTTGTGGGATAAATGAGCTCATAAGATTTTGGTAGTTTCTGATCTCTGACTTACAGGAGGAGAACAGAATTTTTTTGTTTGTTTCTTTGTTTTCATGTCAGGAGCAACTTTAGAAACTGCAAGTCACTATTGGTGTGAGAGAATTGGCCGTCTGCAAGGACGTTGCCCAGGGGATGCCCGGATATTTTGATGTTTTACCATCCTTGTGGGAGGCTTCTCTCATGTCCCCATATGGGGAGCTGGAGCTGACAGAGGGAACTCATCCGCACTCTCCCCGGATTCGAACCTGCAACCTGTCGGTCTTCAGTCCTACCGGCACAAGGGTTTAACCCACTGCACCACTGGGGGCTCCTGAGAACAAAAGTGACCCTAAAGTATCTCACAATCATTCACTTCATTTCTGTCATAGTAGCATCACAATGAGAGATTCAGCTCCACAATGAGTACCAGTCCCTATGGGGTGGTTTTCAATTCTGTTTCAGGAAAATGGATCCACATGAAAGTCTCATAAAAGCACATTTAAGAAACACTTGGGTATATAGTAGTGACATGTAAATCTGATACACAGATAAGAAATAATTCTTCCTGCAATTATAGTCCTTTGGAGTTTCTTGCTTGTGTGTACTTCAATTGCCCAATCTCCTTATATGTCGGTATATTTGCACCTTAACTCCTCTGAGTGCATCCTGAGATGTTACAAGATTATAATGACTTCATCACCATTTACTCAGTTATTCCCCATCTCCAATGTTCTTGCTAGCCTGTGGAAGTTGGTGGCTCTGACATCAATGGGGTAGTGAATCTGTGTTATATTTTAGTCTTGATTTTAAAGGAATTGTCCATGGCGCAGAACTCAAAATAGATTCAGCACCTTAGACAGCTCCTTTAAAGTTTGATTAGGTGTGACATCTGTTCCCACACCAGACTAAAGATTCCTTCAGCAGCACATTCCTTCAGCAGCACAAGACAGACTGCAGAGATACCCAGTCAGCAGACAGAATGAACCATACCACACACCATTAAGAATAGTCATTTGAGCCTAATCAGGAGTTAATGGACAGTACTTTGTAGTGATTTCATTTCAACAATAAATGTAATGAGCAATTTAAATACAAATGCTGAAGGAAATTATCTACTGTTGTTCGTGCTACTTTTCAAAGAGAGCTACCAAGGGACCCAAAAGCATGCAATCTCCTCTAGTCATTTGGGCATTATCCGTGTTCCCTCAGAGTCAGAGCAGCCAAGACATGTTTATATCATTACCACAGCTAGCTACATGCTTCATTAGCTATTTAATAGCCAGCAATTAATGATCTGAAGGTTGCTTAGTTAAAAGTTAAGCAAAAGTCAGTATGGCAAGTAGGGAAAGGGATGTTGCAGGAATACTCCTTGGAGCATTCTCTTTGCCTTTTGAATTTTAACACCTAAAACACATTTAGTAGCACTGAAAGAATTAGCCGATAAACTTTTCATGAAACATAACATGAATTTTCATACAAAGTTATGAGTGATGGCCTGGATCCTGCGGGTAGTCCTAACTAAAGTAGACCCATTGAATCAACTGTTTGAATGATGTGTCAACAACTAATGTAATGTAAATTCAATGTATTCAATACGTCTAATCTCAATGGGGATCCTTATAGGATACAGAGCTATATTTCCATATTCTTGTATGCCAATGTTTAAATGGCATTTCAGAAATATATGCAACTATATGTATGTTGGTATTTACCCAAATGTTGACTGGTGGTGTTTGTTCTCAAAATTAAATAATCATCAAAGTAATACATCTTCCTAGCTCTCCTTCATACATACATTCTCTGGCTTCCTGTAGGAAGATTCTACGAAATGCTGTGGTTGAGCCTATCAGAACACAAAGCTCTAAGTGCCCTAGTTTGTTTTTATGTAGGATGGGTTGTGATGCAGATCTCATTAAATCTTGGCAAGGTGTACAGCTACATTGTCACCACTTTGAGATCTTGTGACAGACAAGGAACTATCTTAACTGGAATATTCTCTCCAGTATTATTCAGATACTTACATGCCATGACAAGTCTCACAAACTCTCCAACCAAACACATGGGATGGCAGAGATCGTATGTATATGAGTCAAAATTAAATCAGCCCCACCACCGTTTTCCTTGAGATTGACTATATGATTTTGATCTTCTTGTGCGGACTATCATTAGATGTCCTGTCTTCATGTGAATGTTTGGGATAACAGAAATTAATAGGTGAATGAGATTTATAGGATGCATGCTAAGTTCACTTGGTGGGAAGAGCTGAACTTAGACTGGGCTTTTGTCCATTAATGCAAGCAATATTTAAGCATGTCAACATTAAAATCTGAATTAAAGTCTCCATAAGTCATACATCTGTTGTGAACTCTCCAACACTTTCAAAGCATCAGAGTTTTGTTTTACAAATGCTAGAGTAGAACCTGCTGGGAGCATGAGCAAACTTTTTTGCCTTGGGCGGCATTGCTGGCCGGGCCAGGAGAGAGGGAGGGTAGACACCTAGTGATTGGCACTGGGCCGGAAGGGGGTGGGGCGACCCCTCCTCTCGTGCTGCTTTCCCTTCCTCAGCGCAAGGCTCTTGAAATCTTCTGAAATGCATCCATAGATTACACAAGCCAACAAAATCAAACTTTTTGTAATCATCGGACATGAGAGTAGCCCAGTTTAAATCAAATTTTTATGCTGATTTTAAATATGTCTTTATTTTTTTCCATCACGTCAACTTATTTAAATATGACGAATGGTACATTGCAGTGGACTACTGTAAAGTCTGCACATTTCACCACATAATCATGTAACACAAGGCAACAAGTATTTTTCATCAGATATAATTCTAGGTCATTCTTATAGAGCTTTCTGCACTGAATTCAGATCTGTGTTTATTTTTTCTCTATTACATGTAGTTTTTGTAATGAGGCTATCAATTAGATTCTATTGATATCAGTGTGTAAATGCATTAATTATTCGATTAGCCTCACCGCAAAAACTACACGTGCAAAAACTACACATGAAAGAGGGAAAAATGAACAAAGATCTGAATTCAGCTCAAAAGAAATATAAGAATGACCTAAAATTATACTTGATGAAAAATACATGTTGAGTTGTGTGTTTTTTTTCTTTTACCAGCTTCAGCTCTTTTTATGAGTTTCATTTTGGTGGCTAAACTTATAGTTTAGTCTTCTTTTAACATGCTAGCGATAGTTGGTGAGGCAAGCTAATTCATTTTTCCCTTTCTTTCTGTTTTGCTGTTCAAATATACTCAGTATTCTAAAGGAGATTGATATTCCTTTACATTTTATAGCAGGTCATGCAACTAGAATATGACTATCCCAGTCCTTCCCATCTCAGCCCCACCACTGCCACCAGCTGCCTCTCCGCCACTACTGCCTCCATTGTCCACAGGCTGCAGCAGTTCCCGGGGAGGCAGCTGCCCGGCACATCAACTCCACTCCTGAATCCCTCCAGCAGGTCGCCATATACATCTGCCAAGAGGAGGGTGTGGGACTGAAGCAGAGTGTCTAAGAACCTGCATCCAGCCCAAGGGTCTTGGTTTGCACATGCCTGGTTTAGCTAATATCTCTTTGTTCCTCTGTCAGAAAAAAAATATGACAAGGACAGTTTCTTCCACTGACCTCACCCCACATTCCCTTCTTTTCTTTCTTTACTCTCTGACAGATGCAAAAAATATTTGAGAAACTTGCAGGATTCAAAGAGATTCGTGTCTTGGGATTTAGGTAAGTGCTAATACAATTTGATTCCAAGTAAGGATATATATTCCCTCTAATCACCAAGAGAGCAAATAAAGTACTAATACAGTATTTGAAAATACTCTGGTTTAGACAACAGTATTTCTAAATTAGTTTCTAACCTTCCAGTGATTTCAGGAGTTCTTCATTTACCTTTGAAAATAAACTATTTCACTTCCCACGATCCAGTTAGAACCCTTTAGCAAGTATTGTTTTTCTTTTCATTTCATTTATTATACTTCTTAGCCACTTTTCTCTGCTGTGGACATCCCAAGATAGACTACAATATAAAAAGAATAGAACTGAGTATTAAACGAATTATAAAAGCACACTGATTTTTTTAAAAAATTAAAAAATAAGCCAACGTCTAACATTTAATAATTCTTTCTTGACCATTTTGTTTGAGAGAAACCTTGAAAGGCTTTCAGATCTCTTGAACCCCCTACGTACAATTATTGTAGTTAGAATTCATTAAGGGAATTGCAGAATCAGACCTTTGTGACAGGCTTATATTCATGATTGCTACATATTCACTGGTTTAGGGAATATGTAGGGACCACAAATGTACTCCAGTCTATTCTTAATGGGCAACCGGTGCTAAGATCAACATGAATCTGTTCCCCTCTGGGTCAGGAAGCAGTTGACTGACAGTCCCATCTTCCTCAGCACTAGCCATCTCTGGCATTAGGGAAGATTATAAGAGGGACCTTGTTTCTGTCTGTCAAAACAGAATTCCTTCACAAGAAGGGGTGAAGACATCACTGAGCTGTTTTCCAACCATATGGAATCAGGCTCCCATTAATGGTAGTAGTGGTTAATGCCTAGTAAGTGGGTGACATGTAACTATGTAACTAAAGTGATTAAAATAATAATAATAATAATAATAATAATAATAATAATAATAATAATAGACACTTGGAAAGTGTCCAACATGTGATCCAATACAACAGCCAGCAGAGTGATTTTGTCTGGTGTGGACCCATCTTGTTGTGTTTCTAATAATAATAATAATAATAATAATAATAATAATAATAATTTTATTTTTATACCTCACCTTCATCTCCCCTAAGGGACTCAGGGCAGCTTACAAAGGGACAAACCCAGAGAGCACGAAATTAAAAGCATAACACAATAAGATAGCTTCAAAACAAATCCAAATAAAAACATATCACAATAAAACATAACATCATAAAAACAGTACCATACAGAATGATGTAAGTGCTGATTTCAGAGGGCTCTGGAGGTTTGTGAAAATTCCTAGATAGAGCTAAGGGAAAGTGCAAAATTCAGAAAGGCAGGGCTGGGAGGATAATGTTCATGGGCATTAAAATGTCAGGATTGTAGAGCAGAGGGCCATGCTAAAGTGCTGGAATGTCGGTAACATTGGGCCAATTCTTTGAAACTGTCTAGTCAAAGGCACAGCAGAACATCCATGTTTTTAGGTTCTTACGGAAGGTAGACAGGGAAAGTGCCAGTCTGATCTCCCTAGGAAGAGAGTTCCAGAGCCGGGGGGCCACCAACGAGAAGGCCCTCTCCCTCGTCCCCACTAACCACGATTGAGACGTAGGTGGAAGTAAGAAAAGGGCCTCCCCGGATGGTGTTAGAGCCCGTGTTGGTTCGTAGGGTAAGATGTGATCGCGAAGATAGGCAGGTCTTGAACCGTTTGGGGCTTTGTAGGTAATCACTTGCACCTTGAATTGGGACTGGAAACTCATTGGCAGCCAGTGGGGCTGTATGAACAGGAGGGTTGACTGCTCCCTGTAGCTTGCTCCAGTTAGTAATCTGGCTGCCGATCTTTGCACCAATTGCCATTTCCAGGCCATCTTCAAGGGCTAGAAAATTATTGAAAATTATGCCCTATATCTACAGCTTAAGAAAACAAAACTCGGTCACAATCTGTAGCAGTTTTTCCAGGAACCACAGCATTCCAGGGAATCCTGATAAAACCTGATCTAATATAGTCCATATATGTAACAGATCAGGATACTCTAATAATATTCTGTTGAGCACTAATAGGTTTTGAATATCTTCCAAAAAGCAGTCACAGGTGGAGCCAGCCCTATATTTCTCTGGAAAGAATTCCATAGGGTTACTAATGAGAAGATGTACTTATTTGTGAAAGGGGCTTATCATAGTTAGGCAGAACAGTAAGTCATGTTCAAGAAGCCATGTTCAAGATGCACACTTCTCTTGGTAAAATTAAAAACAACTTGAAACCCAAGAGTAATTTGGCAGAACAGGAAAAAGAGCAGCCATTAGTCACACTCATTATCATCCTAGTTAGTGGGTATGATGTAGAAGATAGATAGTGCCATTCTGTTCTCTGTTTGTGGGAAAGATTTCATAAGCCCAGTGGGAAAGCAACCAGGCAAACACACAATGGTCTATATCCAAAGGAGTACGTCCCTCGATGAAACTGCTTTTGTTAGCCAAATAACAAGTGGAACCCCTTTCTACTTTCTGCGGCAAACCCTCTCAATTGAATATGCTAACTGCTGAAGGCTGTCATAGAGTGGAGCAGTGGAGAAAGTTCTTCATGAGGGTGCTACACTGGTAGTATGACATTTGGCAGTATGACAACATCAGTGGGGTTAAATCAAGTTTCCTTTCTACCAGGGGAAGGATTCCTAAGCAGTTATTCCCTTAAAGTTGTCCTGACTTATGGAAAAACACACAGATATTATAGAGCAGAGAGCTGTCCAAAGTCAAACTATCAATGCTAGTAGAGAGGCTTGACAATATATATCACATTTGGGGTACAACTTCTCTGGCATAGTGATTTTTAAAAGTATTTTATTGAAGATCACAACCTCTTGCAGCAGCATCTGTTTTCCTGCCTGTTTTCTGTTGCTGAAATAAGAGGTTTGTTAAGATTTCTGGGACTGTATTTATACGCCTTTCATTTCAACACATTCAAAGATTGTTCTGTTCAGAGAACATAAAAGAACTGTAAGTGAATGTCATAAAGGTGGTTTTCTTTTTAATCACGACAAAAGCAGAAACATTTGCTGTCGTCTTCATTTTTCCATTCGGGCGTGCTGTTGCTTAGCATTTTGTGTAAACTTTCAACAAGTAGGTTGAAGAAGAAGAAGAAGAAGAAGAAGAAGAAGAAGAAGAAGAAGAAGAAGAAGAAGAAGGAGAAGTGGTGTCCCTGAGTTCTGCACAAGCTTCCAAGCAAGAAGCTAAGCTGCAATAACAAACAAAGGAATAGCTTTTAACATTAGTGAGATGTAATATATTACGATGGAATAATCATGATGTTGTACCAAACTGAGCCCCAGGGAGTCTTCTGATGTTGCAGCTATTACCTGAAGCCTCAACTAATTTTAATAAATCATTGCCGAATGGATATGATATGTATGTTTAGGGAAGAGTGCTTCATTTACTATGAAGACTGGTGCAGCAGATGGAGCGTATTATTTCTTTATTAGTAGCATATATATTCCATGTTTCCTCCATTGAGCAATCCTAGTATGCCTTCTCTACCACTTTATCTTCACAGCAAAACTATAAAGTAGATCAAATGGAGAATAAGAGAAAGGAGAGAGAGAGAGAGAGAGAAACTCATCCAGCATCTGCACTATCTCAATAATAACTCTGAAATCATCTTAGTTGTTAATGACAGAACATAGAAATAGGTTGAAGGAGAAGATCACTTCTCTTCCCTTTACGTGTATTTATTAAAAAGTCTCTAGGGATCTTAACTTGTTTGACATTTAAACCTATTGCTTTAATAAATATATCTGAACAAAACAACAACATGTGAATATTATGATTCTATAAATCCGGTTCTACACTGGATAATTAATGCAATTTGACACAATTTTTCCTGCCATGTCTCATGGGAGTTGTCGTTTGGTGAGGCATCAGCACTCTTTGTCAGAGAAAGCTAAAGATTTTGTAAAACTACAACTCCCATAGCATTGAGCTAATCATATTTAAAGTAATTTCAACCTGCATTAATTTGACAGTTTAGTCACATCTCACCTCCCTAATGGTAGCGCATTCAGTTTACAGAAAAACATCACAGAGACATTATGTTATCTGCACAGAAAGGCTATTTCCTTTGGAGAAAATAGTATTTTCTGCAGAAAACAATTGTATATGAATTTTCTGTAGAACACGTCCCAGACTGCAAAAAATTACATTAGCCCAGCATTCTTCTTGTTAAGGTATTTGAATTTCCTTGGCAAGAGTGATCTATGAAAGTTGGGAAACAGCTACTCTAGAGTTATAACCAAGATAAAGCTTCTTTATGTGTTCATCAATAAACATGCAACACTAGATTCTTGGATTTTCTGATAATGTCCAAAAGAAAAAGAGGTGCATTCTCAGGTAGACACTGCATTGGTACAGGCAAAGATGTTCTCCTAAAGCTGTGTGTATATGCCGAGGCAGCTAAAGCACTCCATATTTGGCATGAAAGAGCAACGAGGCAAACAAAGAGAGGACAGTATTACAAAATGTCATGGCAGGACATGGCCTCAAGAGAAGTGTGCATCGTCAGAATAATTATTAGGTCAGGTTACTATGGCCTCGATTTGAATGGCAGCCAAGCAGAGCCGATCCCGGCTTCTTCCTGGGCAGGGGAAAGGGACAGATTACCAGCCGCTGTGATGCAAATGGTGACTCTAGATGGGGAGGGAGACTGGATAGAACAGGAGAAAACATTTAAAGATCTTCCATCCCATGGAAGATTCTCCTTGCCACAGGAAGAGAGAGGAAAGAATGATGAAGAATTGTAATGTCATTGTAATCCAGGCTTCCTCTCCTACACTGAAGTAACAATGAGTGATGAGGCTTTATAAAGGCTATATTAACAATCCATTTAAATTGGCATGATTTAGCCATATTTACATGCTTTAATATTATTATATGTTTGTCTTTTCTCTCCCCTCTTTTTGAAATGTTCCAATCTGTCTATCTTTGTATGCTGAACTGAAGACAGAAGAAAGAAAAGGATGGGTAACATTTCCTATTTTATAAATATATGATAGTCAATGTAATATGGCATATTCTGTAATTAACCATGCTACCAATGTAAAATAATTTTCCTAGTATTAAGATACAGAAGCCAGAATGCACAGGTATATTACTTTAGTCTAGGTACCTCATCACATTGATATCCAAAGAGTGTGCAATAGTGGGAGAATTCACCAGGCAGCATGGCACATCCAGTGGGCAGTGGGTGAACCCATCACCCCATACTCCCCATCACTCACATTGCTCCCTTACCCATCTCACAGAGGGAAGCATTTCCCCCTGGCTTCCCTCTATGCTCACTTTGTTATTTCCTGTGTGAACACAGGAAACCTCCCATGTTATCTGGGCAGCATCCTACAATGCTTGGAGGACACTGGAAGCACAGAACCATGCCAGAAGTAGAACTCTAATACTGATCCCCCTTGACATTTTCAGTCCAAATTTCCAGGGGCTGCATGCAGACGTCACTTTGCGCATTGCTGGTGTAAAATAAAATATCTAGTACAGTACAATCCTAGAATTCATGGGGGACACATTCCTGAACTTACTGTAGAAACAGAAAACCATGGACAATAGTGAACCCTATTGAAATGAATGTCTTCCACTAGAGGTTACCATAGAGTTGTCCTGGAAGACCTAAAAAATTGTCAAGAAGTATCCTGCCTAGGAATTTGATAGATCCTCCAATGCAACTCTATGGTAACTTCTGGCAGAAGCACACCATATAACTCCTGGAGAATATTAGAAAATTCTTACAGAGGGCATATTTTTGTCAGATGCAGGTAAGTAAAAGCACAGGCAGGTGCTAGTCCTGTGGATACAGGGATCGTCCTGTTTCTTAAGCAAATTAGTCAAATAATTGAGGGTTTCTTTTTTATTTCTTTAGCAATGAAGCAGTGAATTCACTCTAGGTTTTCTTTTTAACGGTGCTATCTAAGGAAATGAACCTGTTTCGGGAAACCATTTCAGCACATTTCATAGTTCTTATAAAGTTCAAACAAACTCCAGAGTGAATGCACTATCCCACTGGCATAGAAGTTACCAGTTGCCGTTGGCAGTTGGAGATTTCTTTAAACCATGATTCCTATTTTTTATATAGCAGCAAGATATAAAAATCAGAGAAAGCAAATCTAATTCCGGGCAAGTTCTCCTCCCTCTGAGCTCTGCAGGAGGAGGAGAAGAGGGGAGGAGAAAACATGTTAGCCTTCAATTTTGCTATTACTTGCATTTATTCTAATTTACAAATTCCTGATTCCTCGTTTTTTCCTTTATATGGCCATCAGGCATAACAAATCACAGAATGTCTCTAATATTTACCTTGCCTTCAGATAAGTTTACAGGAGCTAACAGTGAGAAAATACCAATCTAAATACAGATATAGATCTCCTTAGAAAATGCCTTGCTCTGATGGAAATGGATTTCCAGGCTACCTTCATGCATCTTTGAAAAGCTGCTGGAAGATCAGGTCTCATTTGACTCATAAGAGGAATTGTCCAAGAGAAAGATTTTTTTTCAGAGGCCTTAGGTGCCTACCACATAACTATTGATTTGCAATGTATAGTATAGGTCTGAACTATTTTTCAGCAACTGCAAGATTTTTGTCATGTAATGCTAGAGACATAGCACATTCTAGTGTCTCCCCCTCTCTTCTCATGACTGCAATTGCAGAAAAAAATAAAAATAAAATTAGTCAAGGCAAGGGAAAAAGCCCAGGTGTTTCCATTCAAATTGAGAAGTATAGACATTAGAGCTTTGAAGAGTGCCATTCTGATGCTAGACATTTCTGTTTATGTAATTGCATCTGAGATAGATATGATTACAACCCTGGCATGATGACACATTTCATCAAGATGTTGACCTGGAGCTTCCTTAACCTTTAAAATTAGATGCCGTGCCACTTCCATAAAAAGTTTCCTCTACATGCATTAGACCTTGTGGCCAGATGTGCGTCATATTGACCGCCTGTATCCTTGGATTCTGTACCTGCAGATTCAACTATCTATGGCTTGAAAAAAATGTAAACACTCAAAAGACAAATCTTAATTTTGCCATTTTATATAAGGAACACATTTCACCATGCCATTGTGTATAATGGGATTTGAGTATCCACAGATTTTCATATCCATAGGGCAGTGGTTCTCAGCCTATGGGTCCCCAGGTGTTTTGGCCTACAACTCCCAAAAATCCCAGCCAGTTTACCAGCTGTTAGGATTTTTGGGAGTTGAAAGCCAAAACATCTGGGGACCCATAGGTTGAGAACCACTGCCATAGGGGATCCTGGAACCAAACCCCAGTGCATACCAAGGGCCAGGCCCATAGCCAGGATTTCGTTTCGGGGGGGGGGGGCTAAATTTTCAGGGGGGGTTTCGGGGGGGCTGAGATTCGAGGGGGGGCTGAGTCTGAGTGAAAGAGGGTCTACCCTAGCAAACCTTTTGTATCATTACCCCAATACCCCCATGCATATGGGATATATTGAGTATGGTGATCAGATCATGATATGAATAAACATAACAGTTTTAAAAATGCACCAGTAAGGCCTTTTTGCGAACCACCATGAGAATTTCGGGGGGGGGGGGTTAAGCCCCAAGCCCCCCCCCCCCCCCCCTGGCTACATGCCTGGCCACTAAGTGGTAAAGGAAGATACATAGTCAAGCTTTCATAGTCAAGCAGGACCAACACAAAGAATTTAAATGCTTGAGGCAGAACAGAGCCTCCAAGCTAATAGCATTATTTGATGCAAGGCTCAGAAAACTCCCTGAGTCTTCCTTTCTCTAACATGGAAGATACAATACCATCTAGTGAGATACACTGGAACCCTCTCATGACACCCAAATTCTATTGTCATTTTCAGCTTCAATTTAAAGCCTGCCCTGTTTCCTCACTATTATTCTTGTATGTGCATCCCATTATAAACTGTGATAACTGCAGATCAAGCTATGTCTCTTGTCTCCTCTTCATGTAAGCCCATCCTTTTCATGCTATACCTCCCTGACATGGTCATGTAGTGACCATTAGAGAGCAAGGGACTAAGAGAAGATTTTGACTGATTTCTTCCAGCCAGACACCTGACATTGAAAGCATCCTAGGGAATGGGTGTGATCATTGTCATCTGATTACACCAGAGTGGTCAAGTGTGAAAAGTCTGAAGGATTCATTAATGTCTTCCTTGGAGGGTTGCACCTTCCTTGCAAAAAATTAAAACAATAGTCCCAATTGTTCACAGAAGGCCTGTAAAGGGCAAGGGAGGCATTTACACCATGTTTTAGGCCCCTCTGTGCCAGAAGAATTTTGATTATTCCATGAGATTGGCACCAAATTCTAGCCTCCAGAATGGCAGAGTGTGTTACAGAATGTCAGCCACTGAATAACCGTATTAAACTACTATGTAAAAAAAAATATTGATGCATCCCATTCTTCCCTAGAAAACATGCAGTTCTTCTGTAAGTAGAAGTACATCTGCTTCTGTTTTACTGCTCAGCTGACCCTCCAAAATCTGTATCTATTTATTACAATAGCTTCACTCTAACAGAATTACCATGTAATAGATGCAGACGGTTTGTTTGGTCTAGGATTCCCCTGTTTGCTGGGTTTAACAACAGCTAATAATGAGATATGCATGTTTTGCCACTGGAAAGACAAACTTCTAATGTTTGACAGCTATGGGATCTCCTCTGTCTTTTAAAGCAATTCAAAGTCCTCTTGTGTTTGAAAGGTTCAGTCAGGGGGTGCTCCACCTCCAGGGAGATATTAGTATTTAAAAATATATATTTAAAATACTCCCAAGATTTCATAGGAAAGAATTCTAATTTATATATTTATATATCAATTTACTAGTTGTATGGTAGATGCTATCATGGCCTGTAGCCCTAGCCATTTTGCAATGCACTTCAAGACAGAGAGAAAAAGAATGAATATACAGAAAAGCACTGGGGAGGAATGACTTAACTTCCTCCAGTAAAAAAAATATACTGTTTGAATATTGGGGAAATGTACAGTTTTAGTTTAGGAAAAAATATTTAAGGAAAGGTTCTTAAAAAGTGATTGCCATTTGTTTAATACTTCAAAATGTCTTAAAGGCTATTACATGTGCCTTCATGCTTGTTAAGCGTGTCAAGAAAAACTGGGGCTGTATTTGTATTATATAGTTAATTGTTTCTTGTTCTTTGTAAATTAAATGCACTTTCACTTCATTGTGCAGGTTGCCTACATTGTTAAATTCACATTTATACAGCTATTGTGAACCCTAATAGACCTTCTATAAGCCTGAATCAATGGCAATGACTTCAAAACTGTGACTGTGACTAGATTTAAAAGAGTGACCAGGATCGAAGTAATTACTTCTTTTGACTAATATACATTGGCAAGTCAGCTTTCGAAACAAATCATCCAATTTACAGACAGTTCTACCATGTCTTTCCCCATGCCTGGACTAATCTTTATAAAATATGTAATAAGCACACATAAGAGCATATGTCAGGATCCTAGACTGGCTACTTAATTATGTCTGAATTGCCAAGTGCAATGGTCTCCTAGTCTGGCCATCCTAAATACAGTGGTCTCCTAGTCTGACCACCCATTTTGGACCCAGCTGCCCAATCAGGCCATGTTGAACTTCCAGTCAGATCAGAAGCACAATGTCACCTCATCTCCTCTCCATCATCAATGATCAAGCTTGTGTCGAGCACTTTCCAACTGAGGTCCTGATTCTGATTGTCACAATCTCTCCTTGGCATGAAAGGCTAGAAACATTATCTTCCTTCTCTCCAGTTGGAAACTGACTAGATCTCCTCCTCCTACCCATCCAGCTGCTATCTCTTAATGTGGATTAGGATGGCATTTATGAACTTTCTATTATTCTAGACTAGTTAGAGATCTGTAACTTTGCTTTTTGAATCTGTACGTATAGTACTTAATGCCAGTTGTAGATATTTAGATGCTTGAGGCAAAAGTCAAGAATGTTGGAAATGAAGTTAAATTTTATTTCTACATTGAAACCATCTTCCACCATACCTGAAGGCTGCAGGCGAGCTTAAAGTGTGTGGAACATGTGATTGAGTAACAGTTCCAACAATGTACAAGCAACCCATGTCCCCTCTAGTGCATGCTACCTGAGGCAAGTACCACACTACCACCCACCTGGTAGTGTAGACCCTATTGAAGCACTTCTAAAGCACCATTTATTTCTTCATGCACTGCAGGACAAGCAGCACCATTGCACGATATGTTGTCAACTTTGAAAGAGATGAAAGTGAAGTGAAAGGCCTACCGGATGAGATCTCTACTATTGGGTCCAACAAAGTTGAAAATGAAAAGGCTCCTCTTGGTGCAGAGGGGGAGATACCGGCAGTCAAACCAAGCGTAGCAGACCTTCAGCAGATGGTTGCCATGGCCCTACAAGAAGATAAATCATTATCCATGGATCTTGGAACACTTCAGTTTACCGATGGTGAGTTGGTCAGAATTTAGTCTTTGTGAATAAGAGGCTTTGTCCATAGAACATGAATAAGTTACCTTTCAGAATCCCACCAAATTCTCCAGACCAGACAGGATAGCTATCAATGGCCATGCTGGGTCAAGAATTCAGGGAACTGTGGTCAAAAAGCAACTTTTGCAAGTTCTAATATGCAACTTCCTTGCCCTCTAGGCTCCCAGAGGTCCCACAGGTGCAGCAAAAAAATAGATAATCACATGGCTTAGCTGTCTTGGTTACACACACCAAGTGAATAGGACTAAATAGCTGGAGCTGAGGATATTTTCCTCCCAGAAAATGTCTGAAACTTGTGTTTTTCTTGCCCCATCCAATTTCTTGCATAAGAAGAAGAAAGGTAATTCCATAAGCTTTTCACAAAATTCTGTTCACCAGTTTCTCCTTCACCCAGTGACAATGGTACTAAAGGATGACAATGGTACTAAAGTGCTATGAACAATTTAAAATAGAGCCCGGGGTCTTTTTATAAATTGATTCTATGATTCTCCTTTAACACCTACCATTCTATCCTACCATTCTATCCTTTAGAAGTTGCGGTTCATGGAGTCATGTTTACAATTATTATTCAGGCAGCTCTAGTGCCTCACCAATCTACAAACCCTCTGATTCCATAGGATCAACCATGGCAATTAAAGTGTAATAATACTTCTATAATTATATTGTGGGAAAGGGATCCAGGTTAGTAATCATCTGGGGTATCCTTGATGGTATCCTTGAAGTGACAGGCTTGACTCTGAAGGATCTGGGGGTGGTGATGGCCGGCAGGGCACTCTGGCATGGGCGGCCCATGAGGTCACAAAGAGTCGGAAGCGACTGAATGATTAAACAACAACAATAATCTGGGGAGGAAGATCAGAGATGTGACAGTGTTGCCCCATTCGAAACCACCCACCCATGTCTTCTTTCCATGACCTCATGCTGTTATGAGTCCTCTGTAAATGCCTCTGAATATGTTGCAAATCAGTTGGATATTCTTTGGTTTACATCTGATTTTTTTAACCCAGCCTATTGTACTTTTCAGAGAGGCACTGAAAATGTATTTTTTTAAAAAAAAAATATGGATGTGCCAAAGAAGTACAAAAACATAATAGCTGCAATTGGATGGTACATCCAACCAACCGTATACCCAGACCTATTGCTGCAACATATGCAAAATGTTGTCAACCTGAGAAATTTGAACTTAAATACTACATCTACTCATGTATAAATCAAGCTTATGTATAAGTTGTACAAAATTTGGGACCAAAATTATGGATTTTGATATGACTTGTGGATAGGGGAAAGCAAACCTGTGCAGAGAGGGGAAAGCATCAATCTTATTTTGGAGCCAGCCAATCTGGCTGTGACTACCATTTCTCTGCTCAGGCATTCAAAAAGGGCAGAAGTGGTGCCACAGTGGAGAAAATAGAGGGGTTGGTATTTCTTTTTAGGCTCTCCTGGGACAGACTAAACTCTTGCCTTTTCTCACTCTATTCAAAGAAAGGGATGGTTCCTTTTTTATAAGAGTTAAGGCCCAGTACTCACATTGATAATTGTTTACTGTTGTTCGTTTTTTATTGTTTATATTGTTTTCTGTATCTGTGAGTTGTTGTAAGCTGCCTGAATCCCTTTGGGGAGAGGGTGCAGGGTATAAATAACTATTATTATTATTATTATTATTATTATTATTATTATTATTGGCCCATGGATTTTGACTCAAATTTTTGGTTTGATTTTCTGAGTAAATTTTCTAGACTTATACATGAGCATATAGGACAAATCTTTCCAGCTAGTGTGCTCAGAGAGTTAAATGTTCTCCGTTAAAAATTAAATGAGTATAGGTAGATAATTTTAGAAATCACTTCATCATAAATGTGTGTCATATGTGATGGCTGAAGTTTGTCACCCATCATAGCACATCTTTAACACTTTGATCACTAATCAGATTCTTTGTACAGAACTTAAGTAGATTTACTTGGAAATGATCCTTTGCATTTGTCTCTTCTAAGCCGAGGTTAGGCCATCTAGTGACGCAGACAACGCGCTCATTGATGCTGCAGCTGGACCTGGATTGGTGAGTAAATGTCTTCACACCTTTATTTCCCCAGAAGGTAAGATTTTTATGTATACACATCTATCTCACCAGCAAAATAAAATCAATACAAACATAAAACCTTGACTGTGATTAGGATTCACATCCCTCAGATACAGAGCACATTCTACAATTATTGCTTTTGAAAAAGGACATGACTTCTTCTCTTTTATCTATGCCTTCTTCCCATTTATTTTTCCTCTGTGCTATTATTGTTGTTGCTATTATTTTTACTATTAATCATTATTATTATATTTAATAATAAAACTCTAGGCAACTTATAAATTATTTCAAGCAGTATAGATTAAAAACATACCCCAAAAATACCCAAATTTTAAAATACCCATATTTACACTATTTACTCAAGTCTAATGTGCCATCGAATCTAATGTGCACCTGAAATTTTAAACCCTGAAACCAAAAAAAGTATTTGCTGCCAAATGTAATGCACAGCACCAAAAAATGCACTCTTTGTAATTTGTCCAAAAAAGGTGTGCATTACAGTTCCTGCACATTTAGGATTCTTTCGTTCAAAATGAAAATGTTACAACACCCAAGCTTCCAGTGATGGAAAAGAAAACCTTGGGGTACATCTATGTGGCACTTTACTTACCTCGGTTCAATGCTATGGAATCCCGGGGGCTGCAGTTTAACAAAGTTTTGAGCCTTCTCTGCCAAAAGAATGCTATTTCCTCATTAAACTACAAATCCCAGGTTTGTTTAGCACTGAGTCAAGGCAATTACATAAGAGATGAGGTCCCTCAAAGAGAAGTTCCAGGGGAAACTCTTGAAGCAGCTTCTCCTTTTGCTTTGACTCAGCACTAAGATTACTGTATAAAGCAAATCTAATGTGCACCCCAATTTTGGCAAGGTAATTTAGCCAAAAAGAAGTGAACATTAGATTCAAGTAAATATAGTATATATGTATATCTTGTGTGTGTACAGGCAGTCCCCAAGTTACAAAAAGCTGACTTACAAACAACTCATAGTTAAGAACGGTGGTGAGACAACAGGAAGTGAAAGAAATCTACTCCTAGGAAGAGACATTCACCCCTGAAAGAATGATCATGAGGGAAAGGAGCCTCCACAGAAGCTTTTTCTCCAGTCTTTGTTTCCAAAACAAGCCAATTTTTTCAAAATCAGATTCTCACAGGGACAAAAAGTGAGGTGAAATCTTCTGAAAAGGAGCACAGACAGCAAAATAAACAGCACGGGGGTGTTAACCCTTCCCTAAGCTAGCCAAGCTTTTATATAGATGAGAGAGACAGAGACAGAGACACAGACACACAAGACTGGAGTTACACTTAAAAATGTACCTGCTCCAACTTACATACAAATTCAACTTAAGAAAAAACCTACAGCGCTTTACAATTTTTCTAATTACAAAATTTGTAACACCCATGGGTTATAAAGATAAATATTTATTTGAATAGGGCATCTCTGACTTTTTGCCCAAAAAATAAAAATGTGTTCATGACATGTGTATATATGTGTGTTTAAATCCCAAGGAACTACTCTGTAGGATTTAAACTCTATTCTTAAAATTGATGTGTGTGTGTTTGCAATTCATAATCTTCATAACTTTTACAGATTGGCAATTACTGGGACCCATTCGCATTATAGAATTGTAGCACTTCGATTCCTCTTAACTGCCACGATTCCATCCCATAGAATCCTGGAACTTGATATTCTGAGTGAGGGACATTTATAATTCTCAGCCAGAAACTTCCTCTGATGCCTCACAAAACTACAAGCCCCATGATTCCATAGGTTGTAACCATGGCAGTTAAAGTGGAATCATAATGTCATAATTCTGTCATGTGAAAGTGATTCCGGTTTACAGCAACCGTGGACCTTCTGGGCTCCACAGGGATTAAGTTCCACAATGTCTCATAGATGCCAAAACAATGGATGGTCACACCTACACCATTAAATAATGTGCATGGAGATGCTTCACTATGAGCATGTTCACATCATCAACATTTTAAGTATAGGATACAACAAACCACCCTTCTGAAGCCCTTGGATTATGAGGGTCCACAGTATATAGAAAGCAGAGTTTAGAATCATGCTGGATGGAGGTTTTAAAGTTATAGATCAAAAGCATAACATTTACATGCTCTTATATGATCCTGGAGCAAAGTAAGGCAAAGTATACTGATTCACTGCATATATTTTTATAGACTGCACATGCCACTTGTGCATGTAAAGCAGAGACAGGAAACATGTGGTCTTCAAAATGCTGATGGACTACAAGTCCCATCAGCCCTAGACAACAGCACCAATGGCAAATAATGCTGGGAATTACAGTCCAAAAATACGTGGAAGGCCATGTGATTTTCTCCCTGACTTAAAACATCTTAGTAATAAATAAATTAATGTGCAGTGTGGCCCCTAATTTCTAGAACAGTAAAGTGACTGTTAGTTGCTGCTCTCTACCCTCTACTCTTCACTTCTTTCTTCTATTTCTCTTTCTGGTAGACGTCTGATGTACCACTGGTTTATGCAAGTCCAGCAACTGTCACAGAATCTTTTAATGAGATTGAGGAGGCAAACCTCATTCTAGATTATTCAGTGCCCACAGTGCCTTTCAATGCCTTGGATGGTACTGGGGTCCCTCCTCTCAGACCAGGAGATCTTGATGTACCTCCTCCAGCAGACCAGTCAGCCAGCAATGAGTTAATCCCAGAATACTCAGAGATGCCAACTGAACAGTCACTCACTTCTGCAACATTTCCCGCTGGTATCTTTCAGGAAGTTAGTGATCAGAAGAGTGAAGATGAGCGGATGCAAGACCAGATCTCTATCATTGACTCACAGATCATCCCTGGGGAAGGTAAGTTGTCATGTAACTTGCTGAACAGGAGATTGCTCTGTTGTCTTGTTCAACAGAAGCCAGAAAGCAGACGCCACTCATACATTTACTCAAATTTTCATAAATGTAAATGTCTTCTGATCACTTTTACTGAATTGTGCAAATAACAATATTTAGTCTATATGTTCCACATTTCAAATATTCCAGAGACTTAACATAAAATATATCAATAAAGTTGGAACATCCTGAAAGGGTGAGATAATATCAGGTGACATAATATCATTCTTTCATATAAGAAATAGTGTGTGCATGTGTGTCCATGTGCATGGACTATAAAGAATTCAGCTGAATTCTGAATAAGAAAGTTACAGAATTATACAAGGCCTTATTAGTAAATTGTGACATTGTTCAACCAAATACACAATTGAATGCACATATCTGTGAAGTGAAACTCAATGAGCAATGGCACTGCATGCAGAACGCTTCTTTCACAATCCAAAACTGAGTACAGTTTTTCTACATGGGACAAAAATGTTCAATTGCTTCCCAAGGGAATTCATACATGTGTATAAAGATTATTTGCTTTAGCATTTGTGAAAGAGCTAGGCTGAGTGATTGAGGTGTTTATTGTTATTTGATTGATTTCACTTAAAAAACATTTTGTCTTGTTGAATAGGCTAGCTTGATCTTTTATTGGATTTCTTGTTAATTTGAGCATTGAACACGTTTGCGACTTTTCAAACTTACTTTTTCCCAAGATGTTGCTACTTAGGTATTAGATCTGTAAGTTGTCTGTGGGCCCTTCCACACAGCCATATAACCCAGAATATCAAGGCAGAAAATCCACAATCTCTGCTTTGAGAACTGGGTTATCTGAGTCCACACTGCCATATATCTCAGTTCAAAGCAGATAATGTGGGATTTTGTTCAGCTGTGTGAAAGGAGGCTGTGAATTATCATTGAAGAACAGCTTCTTACCCGGGGCAGTGAGAGGCTCCCAGGATTTCTATCTGCCTTCACTACAGGCAATACATGAGTCAGGCTAAAGTAAGTTACAATATCAGCAGCTTGCCTCAATACCTTCAGATGCAGAACTAAATAATCTTGCTCAGGGGGAAAGGCCAAAGAAAAGTGCCAGCTTCAGATAGTAGAGGAAAGATATACAGGCCAGAGACATACTGTTGTGGCAGCACTACCACTTTTTATTCTCTTTCCCCAAGATGAAGAGACCTAGGTAAGTAACTCTGAAAAAATATATACATCTATACCCTACTTCTTCAAGTGGTAAGAGTTTTATTCATGGGTAGTTCATGGTTGCAGAGATGCAGAAATTTCAAATTGGGCCCAGCTTTCTTAAGCCTGTATAGTGGAGGGAATATAGGTACGTGGGAGGGAAGTCTCCAACAGACAGGGGTGCCAAACTTGTCCGGTGCCATAGGTGAGTACAATCCTTTTCAGAATAAGGTGTATAGAAGGAAGTTTTAAAAACTGGCTTATATAACAGTGCTAATTGTTTGTGTGCACTTCCCTAGGGCTTGTGTGACAAAGACTTTGACAGCAAGTGATGAAATGAAAGTTATACATTCTGGGAGTAGGGAAGGATCTGCCATAATTCATTCCACTGAAAACAGAGTGACAGCAGGTCTCAGTCTGTCTTTGTCTGTGATACATTAGCTGCATTTCCCTTATCTGGCTTTCCTGTTTGGCAATGTATCAGGTAATAGGGCTCCATCACACACTCTCTGTTCCCTACCAGATGTTTCCTCTGTCTGAATACAAGCAGATGATAAGAAGCAGCTAGCATTCCATTGCTGTATGTTGTGTACCTTTGAAAATAAGAACAAATCCATATTAGAAATCGTACACTGGGGACAAAAGATCAGTGGCCATTCATGTAGCTTCTGTCTTCCATATGTTTGCCACCGATCCAAACCGTAGAATGATACTTGATACTATACCGATACATCTTAGTTTTATTATGTTTATGACAAGCTTTTGAATTTATAGACAGTAACACATTGCAATCTGTTTAGCCCAGATATCAGTTTAAGGATGAAAGCAGCATTGTTCACATGCCAGAGCCTTCCTTAGTTTTCCACCTTGCTGTCTGGTGCAAACCTTAATGACAACAGTGTCAAGAGCATATTGTTGAAGGCTTTCATGGCCGGAATCACGGGATTGTTGTAGGTTTTTCGGGCTGAATGGCCATGTTCTAGAAGCATTCTCTTCTGAAGTTTCACGTGCATCTATGGCAGGCATCCTCAGAGTTGTGAGACCTCACAACCTCTGAGGATGCCTGCCATAGATGCAGGCAAAACGTCAGGAGAGAATGCTTCTAGAACATGGCCATACAGCCCGAAAAACCTACAACAACCCAGTGTTAAGAACCTTTTTACCATGCTGTCCCTTTTCACTCTGATAATTTCACTCTTTAATGTGGTCTTTTGAAACAAAAGGAATCTGCATTTCAAGCAAACACATAAGCCTGCATGTTCCACAGATAAGAAGCATAAGTGATAGTTACTGGAAAATAAAAAGCTGTTTAAATAATAGATATTTATCAGCAATAATTTGATTTTCCAAGGCAGACAGCCCAGTTTATTCATGTAAATGGCTCCATCTCTTACCGTTCTCAAAATGCTGAACAGATCAAAACAAATATGATTTCCTTATAAACAGCATGTACATTGCCCATGGATGGAGGCAGCCTTCATTTCTATCTCATTAATCTGTAGACATAGTCACAAATTTGCCTCATGTTCCAGATTGCTGGGTTTTAGTCATTTCCTTTGTTTTGTTTTGCTTTGTTTTGAACAGGCTGGCAGATTTTAATGCTTTTGGCTATTTAACCAAAGAACCAGAAGGGGGTTATTTTTCTGATATAATTTGGAACAAATATTTTGCTGAGAAACATGCTTCCATTCTGTTCTGATTTATTCTCAGTCTGTTAATCAGGAGTGCCCTTATCATGAACCAAGGGGAAAGAGTCTTATATTTATGAGCCTTGCCACTTTCAGGTCAGAGACACTCAACATAATGCATAGATGGTAGATTTTTAAAAATTAAAGAGCCCACATTCACCCTGTCTAATAAGCTGTCACTTCTGACTGGTGTTCCTCCCAAACAGATGACCATAGAGCTGAGCAATCTATTAAAACAGTGGTTCTCAACCTGTAGGTCCCTAGATGTTTTGGCATTCAACTCCCAGAAATCTTAACAGCTGGTAAACTACGAGTTGCAAGCCAAAACACCTGGAGATCCACAGGTTGAGAACCACTGTATTAAAGTCACTCAATGTCATGGACTTTTTAAAACAGAAATGGAATAGTGTTGTCTTTTCCTAATGCTTACTATATTATCATAGTTAATTGAGTCTCAACTGAGTCTCCTTATGGAGAGAAAAAGAGGGATAAATAATAATAATAATAATAATAATAATAATAATAATAATAATAATAATAACAATTTACAAGCCCTGTAATTGTTAATTCATTTTCTCGCTGACAAATTTCTCTTTTATGAGTTTGCATAAAGCGTATTTGAGTTTTTAAAAGTAACCTTAGTTGTTATGTGAAGAACAGTTGAACAATCTAGAACCTAAGCAAAGCTATGAAACATATTTAGATCTCTGCTTTAGCTGAACATGGCCTCCTGGCTGTGGTCAATGGCACAATGCTGAAATGCTGCCTGGGAATGTGGTAATTTCTGGGTTCTTCTAATATATGAAATATGTATTATCACTACATGAATGTTAGAGTCTCATCAACAATATGATGCCATCTGAAACAAAATAATCACCTTTACCTACAGAAAAAATGTTGACTGTCATACTGTTAGAAAGTTCTGATGTCATAACCAGATGTATGACATCACAACTCACTTTTACAGTCATTCCAAAAGTGCCGCTACCCCCCTCCCCATCCTATCACCTTGGTAACTGTGTGCCCCTCCCAAATATGCCCACTTCTGGGTTGTTAGGGAGTGAGGGAATCAATGGTGACACATCCAGCTATTTTCCTTTATCTGGAAAAGCTGTTATGAGGTCACTTGAAGAGATATCCTGCCAGTGTCTTTCATTGTGTTTCCAACTCAAAGAAAACATTTGAAATATCACTGCTGATCCCCCACTCTCTGACAATCAAGAAATGAAATGCACAGCTTATAAGGTGGGCTTTGGCACTGTCATTGGAAGATGTAGCTAGGGACACATGCTTATATGAGACACATACATTCCCCAGTGCAGGATTTTGACCATTGTCTATGTGCTTCTTAGACAGAATGCTGTAGCTTCTATATCAAAGAGCAAGCACAGATCTCCTATTTGCTTGTGATATCAGGGAAACAGGAAATGTAATTGGTATGATACAATGATATCACCTTAGTTGTAGGAACAGAGGAATCAGTTTCACTTTAGCTCTTTTTCCTAATTTTCCCAGTGTTACATTCTTTTCATATCTCTCTCTCTCTCTCTCTCTATCTGTCTGTGTGTGTGTGTATATCACATACATTAAAATATACACATCTTAACTCAATTGTTGAGTAGAGAACTGTGTCTCAAAATTCTGAGAATAACTGTCTCCTGCTTTTGCATATTTCCTGAGGGAATTTCTTACTGAAATATGAATCATACAACATTTTCTTCCATTCCCAACAATTAGCAGAGTGCCAGATTCCTGTTTTGTGTGTATAACCACAGAGGGAACATTTCACACTGGACACCACTGCATGCACACCTGCAAAGAGGAAATACTTCAGGGCTAAAGCACCTGTGAGTGTAGGGTTCTGTTGCAGTGGATGTGTGAAGGCATATCAATAGCCCGAATTCTGACAGTTTTCATGTTATTTTGGATGAGCAAGCCAAACCAGGGTTAGCATTGTGTTTCCGTTATTATTTATTTACCTTTTTTTAAATTCTCTTTGATCACATGCTGACAACATCACTTTGAATATATTCATCAAGAGTTCTGCACCCATTCTCTGTTTGTCATAGATCATTGTGATGTGTTAAGATTGCTCTGTGT